AAGACAGAGACATCACACAGAACATTATCATCTCCAAATGTGGCCTCACCTGCTTCTTTCTCATATGTTCTTCCAAGCTTCAAGTCCTTAACATTGATTATTTTTGGAGGCACTATGCCATTTTCAGAATCTTGGCTGTATTCATTTGCCTCATTCCCTTCTCCTTATTGGTTTATTTATTCATGAATTTATTCATGTATTTATTTATTCATTCATATATATTTATATATATATTCCCCCACCTTGTTTCAAAATGAATGTCAGGCAGCTTACAAGAATACACAAAATACAATGTAATAGTATAAACCCCAGGTAGATAAAAAAGGAAAAGGGGAAAAAAACAGAATCCCAAACACAACAAAAACAACAAAGATAGAGACATAAAATAGAGCCTGGAAAAAAGCTAATTCATAGAATCCCATTTTAAGTGCTATTTATGGACCACAAATTTGGCTCCAAGCTTTACAGTAGTCAACAAAAGAGAACCCTAATCAGCTTCATACTTCTCAGAATCCGTATAACAAAACCACCTATTCAGGATGTCCTTTTCCTGGTCTGAACTCTACAAACTTTTCTCTAGTGAAGCATCATAAAACGGTGACAAACTGTTCCTCCTAAATCTTACTAATCCCAAAATTCAGCTCCTGTAACAGTCTCCAACAAAGATAGTTTCTCAATCTTCAAATTACCTCTATTACTTCTGATTTTCCTTTGTCTCTTGAAGTTCCATTTATTTCATGTACCCATGAAAAAGACTTTTTAAAAGACCAACAACAACCAAAAAAATCCCCTCTGCTGTCACCAAAGCAAATATTTTCATTTCAGTTAATTAATGACATTGTGACATTATTTATCATGACAAAAATTTGGAAAGGATCTCAAATATCCAACAAAAGGAAATGGTTAAATAAACCATGGTGCCAGTCACTATATATACACATCATCAAAAATGATACCTATAAAGCCTTTTTTAAAAATGTAGCAAAATATATTCATGATAAAAATGTTAAATTAAAAGGCAGGATGCAAAACTGCATATATTATTGTATTCACTATGTAGAAAAGTACATATGTGAATACGAAGAAACAGAAAAAGTCTGAAAAGAAATCCATAGAAATGTTGATAGAATTTTGGAATTTGTGACTATGGGTGATTTTCATTTTTTTCTACATGCTTATATTTCTTTTCCAAGTTTTTGAAATTGATAAACACTTTCTGTAAGTTAGGTAAAAAGTTACTTTAAAAAACAAGAATTTGAGGGCAGGTATCATGGCACAGGTGTCTAAGCAGCCACTTGGGACACTGGTATCTCTTATCAGAGTGCCTGGATTTGAGTCTTGTCTTTGATTCCAATCCAGTTTCCTGCTAATGCATACCCTGGAGGCAGCAGATGATGGCTCAAGTATTTAGTTCCCTGCCACACATGTGGGAGATCTGGATGGAGTTCCTGGAGCCTGCCTTCAGCTGGACTCAGCCCTGGCTGGTTGTTGTGGGCAATTGAGGAGTGAATTAGCAGATGGAAGATACATCTCTCTCCTTCTCTCCTTCCCTCCCTCACTCCACCTCAATCTATCTATCTGTTTTTCAAATAAATACAAATAAACATGTTTAAGACAGTTCGAAAATCTAGGCTTTTTATTTGGTTGCTTGTAAGGTTCAAATTGCTATAAAAGTAACAATAGTTCACAACTATTTGGCATTTTTAAATCTTACTTTTAGTAGCATGCTCGTATTCAGAATTACATTGTATTACCATGAATATATTGTGAGTTAGGTCTGGTGTTACTATCTTCATTTAATAGGTGATGAAACTGGGGCTCAGAGAAGCTGGCCCAAAGACACAATAGTAAATGGAAGAGCTACATGTGAACCCAAGGTCTCCAAAACCCATGTCCAGTGCTCTTTCCATTAACTCAAAACTGACTGTGGTGTTACCTAGAAGCAATGACCCCTTCTCATCCTTGAGGCTCAGGTTTCTGAACAACCTCAAAGGTAGGAAAGTTCCGCTGAGGAAGCCATGATTTTAAGAGGAAAAAAGGTGAGCAGGGGAAATGAGACTGCAAGTGAGCTTTTGAAAGCCCTCAAATATTTTTATGCACAGTAAAATAAAACAATAACAATAGTATATTACATGAAAAGCATAAACATAGTTTAAATTAGTAAAAAAAGGTTCTACACAGCTTCCATTTAGATCTGGAGATGATTTCTGGTGGTGATCACGTTTCTGTCACTCCTTATGATAGTGGAAAAATGAGGATGACAGAGAAGCAATGAACAGAGGTGGACTGTTAATTCAAATCATGGATGTCTTATGCTCTCAGAGTCATTTAAGTCCAATCTGAAATTCTAATAAGTTGCTTGTGGTTTTAACTACATTGAGCAATGAATTTACTTGGCATTACTTAACAACTTTGGCTCTTCTGAAGACACCCTGGCACTTCTTCTCTATAGTGTTCAATTAAATCATTCAAACTTTCTCTGAAGGCAGCTTATCAGTTGTCCAGTGAGGGTATTTAAATGGTACTACTTGATAATTGTGGCGTTTCTGAGATTTCTCTTTCCCAATATGACCTTTTTAAAAAGTTCAGCACCTTTTCATAGAGTTCAATTAAATCACTGAAGCTTTGTCTAAAGGTAACATTACTCATCCACCAATGGTATTAAATGGTATTTGATGATTTAAGTTGTATTGAAGATCATTTCCATCCAATATGATTGTTTTTAAAGCCACCATAGCACCTTTCTATAGAATTCTGCTAAATCACTCAAGCTTTGAACAGGTAAAATTTGATATGTAAACATACCAAGTTTTGCTACTTTCTTGGGAGATTTTAATCTCCTAAAAATTTACTTCTGTTGCTAACAGCTGCATTTGCCTCTAGTCCCATAGCCAACACGTGCCTTCATCGTCACTTATGATAATCACTTTTGAGATACTGGAAGCTTTCCAAAGATCATCTTCTAGCAATACCACTTCAGTTGCATTGGTGACTATTGGTTTAGATTCAACTTTGGCCAATGATTGCTCCTGCTACAAATGTTCATCTTCATCCATAAGTTCTTCTTAATCCAAGGATTCCTTGACTTTGGAAGGGATTGTTGAAAGATTTACATCATCTCTAGCCAAATCTTTGCTCAGGTTGCATTAACAATAGACTCATAAAATATCTAATGTCTGTTTTATTAAGAATATATAGCATTAATTATGGTATAGGAATTTCACATACTAGGATCTTCTGACAAAGAAACTTTTACAAGATTTTGAACAACAAAGTTTCATTTTAGTTTAGAATACATCTTCTTGAATGGCTGATCAAACATTGATCTTAAGGCTTGAAGGATCTGAGATATGTTATCTTGTTATATAAACAACCTTTACGTTAGGAAGCACATTGGCAAATGCAACAGACTATGAAGAACCAGTAGGATATGAAATCAAGATTTTTTTTTTACAGTCTTGTTTTTCTTCCAAAAAGTACCATTCAAATCATTCTCTGAGGAAGAGTCATCCAGACTTTTCTGTTTGCATACCAATACAGTGGAAACCTCACTCATTTTTCCCCTAAGAAAACTTGGGCATAGTTTTCTATAGATGAGTTATGGTCTCCTGAAGTATTGGCACAAAACAGACTTGTCATCCTCTCTGTTCTGGCTGATCTGTGTCAGCATCAGTTAGATCTTGCTATTCAAAAGGACAAGTAGGGTTATTTATGGGCTTTCAAAGCATGGTGGCCTCAATAGCAACAAAGATTTATGCAGGAACATAATCTTCATCTTCAATCCCTTTCTACAGCTGTAATGGATACAACACAGGAGCTGAAGGAGTAGTCGTTTCTTTGGCATCACTATCACATAAGACTTGATCTCCAGGTCATGGCACACCACATATTCTCAACTTCACCATTATATGCAGCAATTATTTTTCTATATCCCCTTCCATATCTGCCAACAAGTCTTAAAGTTCATTTTGCACAGTCACAGCTGCTTCACTATTCTTCTGTCTTCAATCCAGAGGTTTAACATTATTTCCATCTTTTCTATTCTTGTGTCAAGACAGACAAAGAATATTTTAAGTGACATCAATGTACAAGAGGCAATACTAGCTCTGAGAAGAGTTTCTGCTTTCATTATGGTACAAATTGTGTGTCCACAAACACCATGTAAGTGACTTACAAGCCTACTGGTTTTCCCTTGAAGAAGCTGATGGACAATGTCCTTTTTGTCTTCTAGAGACATCAAACTTCTTCCCCTTTGGCAACTTTTTGTGATGCCTGTGTCCTTTTATTTCCTTCCTCTCAAAAGCCACAACTACAGAAATTATTTTTAGTTTCATGTTAATAATGCAACTTGACAATTACTTACTAGAAATTTCATATCCCTAAGTAATCAGAGTGTGAGTATGATTGATATCTAAGCAACAAATGTGATCATTCAAGGATAAATGATAATATGTTGCTGTGATACTCGGTGCACATGGAGCTGATTGTATAGGGGACAAATGATAGACGAATCAGAGAGGGAAACAAATGACTCAGATGTTTTATCCCACTTTGTTATATAGTTTGAGACAATATTGTGGCAACTTGGACTGACTCCCATACACTCAATTCAAAGTCTTTAGTTACCCGAAAAGTATACATAAGTAAACCCACCTATTCTCAAATTTCCAGAAACAATAACTTACAATTAAGAAGGGATTACTGCAGACTCTACCCTAATGTAGCAGAAAGAAAGACACTGTGTATATATTCCAGACATTATTGGTGCTATGACCTCCCTTGGATTAAAAATATGGATTCAATTTTATGTGAAACACAAACACAGCAGAAGTGTATTAATCAGACATCAGTGTCTGACAAAATGCAACCTCTGATAATGCAGGTGTAAAGGTCAGGCAGGCCCCAAACAGCCAATGTTCAAGAAATGATTACTCAAGAAAGAAAGTGACAATGAAAGAATAAATTAGCCCCTTTGCAATGCCCGGCCACTGATACTTTACTTTTATCCCCTCCTCCTGGGAAGATAGAGCGAAGCCTGGCTTTCTTATTCTTCTCTTCAGGGGCCATGGGAAGCGGCTTGGAGCTGTGGTTGAGTGCTGAAGAATCCCGGTTGTTGCTATTCATCCTCAGTGGGGGAGCTGGGGGTTTCTCTTCATTATCCAAACCGTCAGACATTTTCTGTTACAACCGATTTCACAGCTCCTAAAGCAGAGGAGGAGAACACAAGAGTTAAGGACTGAGAGGCATAAAACATTCCAGTAAATATAAGGCTTTCAACATATTCATAACAAAAGCATTGGCCTCAAGATTGCTCAGGTTTTGTGTGGATCATTCTGGGACTTTCTCTTCTGGAGACCAAAAAAGTGGCTTCCACAAAGACCAACAATGCAATTTCCAAAAGAGGAAAATGAAGGCAATAATTTATGGCTGCTGCATATATACACACAGATTCACAAAGGCCTTTGGTTTTCCCACAACGAAACTCTATTTTTTGCTGTCCTTTAGCTCAGCAGGCCTTTAACAAATTATTTGCAATCTTTCTTCTTTAAAAATTCCATCCTGGCCGGCGCCGCGGCTCACTAGGCTAATCCTCCGCCTAGCGGCGCCGGCACACCGGGTTCTAGTCCCGGTCAGGGGACTGGATTCTGTCCCGGTTGCCCCTCTTCCAGGCCAGCTCTCTGCTGTGGCCCGGGAGTGCAGTGGAGGATGGCCCAGGTGCTTGGGCCCTGAACCCCATGGGAGACCAGGAAAAGCACCTGGCTCCTGGCTCCTGCCATCGGATCAGCGCGGTGCGCCGGCCGCAGCGCGCCGGCCGCGGCGGCCATTGGAGAGTGAACCAACGGCAAAGGAAGACCTTTCTCTCTGTCTCTCTCTCTCTCTCACTGTCCACTCTGCCTGTCAAAAAAAAAAATTCCATCCTGCTGATCATAATGCTCAGGTGGCATAAACTCCTCAAAGTCTGGAACTGACATATGTATGGCCATAGATTTTTGATGGCCCACAACAATGACTTTTTAGCCACTTTAACATCGGGATGTCCTTGGCATCTATTTCTTCTGTGTGTGCACCTGATTCACACAATGAACTCATTCCATGGTTTCTATGCGAATACACTTAGAAACCATACCGTAGCTCTGGCAGTTTCAGCAGAGTTGGAGTGTACTGTTAGGGCAAACAATGCTCCTCACTGTCTCCCAAGCAAGTAGACAACAAATGTGGGCCAAATTCTACCATGAGCAAAGAGAGCTCAGAAGAGAACCCTGCGTCTGAACAGATATAACATAAATTTACTCCCTGTCATATTTTATGCCCTGCAAGAGCAAACAACAAGGGAGTTAACAAAGGTAATCAACCAGGTTGCAAGATTCAGTCAGGGTTTTAGAAACTTACTTGCTCTCAACTCCATTATTCCTGTGTCCAGGTCTGAATGCATTCAGGTCTCATTACACTGGGAGTATAAAGTGAACTGGGAAAACATGTCCACCCCAAAGAAATGCATCTGTCTCCAGGTATTTCCCTACTCTATTCCAAGTCCTTCCATTAGGACCTGACACTTGACAGCACAAGTCAGGGGTTAAGAACACTTCCAAGTGAACCTCCAATTTAAATATGTGGAAAATCAAACCCATTTTAACAAAATCTCTGTAAATTTATCAAGTATTACCTGACACTAATTTACGGGTATAATAACTCTCTGAAAATGATAGCATATAGTTTTATTCCAAAAACATTCAGTATAAACAAAGGTAAGTCCAATAACAATAACAAAATCAGGAGTCTCCTTATTAATGCTTGTAATGAGAAAGCATGTAGATTGATATTTGTCCCTTTAGTAGTTACAACATACTTATTATTTTCAGTAATAAATGCTGTTACATCATATTATGTGGAGAATTTTTAAATATTGCTATGTTCTAAATTCTCTCAAATACAGTCTATAATTATTCAAGAATAAGATAGTATTAATATCTTCTCCACAGGTACAGCTGATTGTCGACCAACAATGACTCACTTGATGTTGATTTGTGCATGAGATCCATTTTTTTTTGCCTAAGTCTTATGGTTTGCATTATCTTAAATGAGGTAGGACCCATTCTATATTTATTCAGTAATTATGATAGTGAAAATACTCAGTAATATATGTTTTGTTGTCGCCACCCCCAACAATTTGATATGCCTCATATTTCCCTATATAGATGAAACTACAGCATGAGATACAAAGAAAAAAACAACTGGAATGTCAAGGATACTACTTGTATCAGTAAATATTTTAGCTAGAATATCAATTATTTTTTGCATTTTGATTTTTGGTCCTTTTAAATTCATTGGTTCTCTAAAAGAAAAGTGAGTTTAAAACTGACTTCAGAAGGTGGATATTAAGGCACAGTGGGGTTAACCTGCCATTTGGGACATCTGCATCCCATATCAGAGTGCCAGCTGGAGTCCCTGCTCCTCTATTTCCAATACAATGTATTGCAATCCTTTCAAGTAGATGAAAATAAAAAATAAAACTGACATCACCAATGGTATTACTCTGCATTGGACAGGTTCATGGTTTCAACTTAGTCACTGAGAATAATTTACCACCAAAAATAAGGCAATAGTTTATTTGACTGTCCTTGGTTCAAAAATAATGCCCCAATATGAGGTAATTATTACATTAATTTCAGATATGCAAAATTTAGTTTGGGAAAAATAAAATTTGGAAGTTATTGCAAAGGAACTGAATATTCCAATAGATATACCTAGAAAACAAATTTCTTAAGGATGTCTCACAGGGAGAAAGAGTCACCATTTTCTAGATGATATGTATTTCATGATGACATATTACTTACCTTGAGATGACAGAAGTCAGAGAAACATGCATGACCTCCTTAAATCAAAGCTGACCTTGAATAATAAGGCAGAAGTCTGGGACAGACAGGGTTCTAGTGCAACTATATAATATAAAAGTCTGTGCTCCTTTGTTCTTGATAAACAGGTGTGGCTAACACAGAGTGGCCTTTTTGTTTCTAATTACTCTCACTGATCAGGGAAGTAAGTAAATGTCTTGCTTCTTTTCAGGCTGCCTGATCATGCTGACCCTGTTTGACCACGTATATATTAAACTGAAAAGAAAGGGCCTCTTAGGGTACAAGTTCCACACTATTCCATATTGCACTAGACATCCCTGACCACAGTTTCAACAACACATACTCACTGCAGTCAGCATCACAGCATTCTGCAAAGGACCTAGTTAATATGGCATACCTTTCCACTGCTCCCCAAACTGGAATTATTTTAACTCCGTTCAACTCATCAGCTGATCATAAAAAGAGTTGTAATAAACCTTTTATAATATAGAAATGAAATAGAAGAACCTATTTCCAGTTCCATACAGAGAAATAATCTCTCTCTTTACCTAGACATTTCAATTTTTGTTTTGTTTGAATTATCCTGATATTACTTTAGTTTTGCACTATCCTTTAGAAGGCCTAATCAATAATCATCTTGTAATTACGATTTGGTGACAAAAGAAGAATTTGCAGGGAGTTTTTGTTATCTTAACCCACCTCCAAAGCACACTTTTAAATCAGTGGAGAAAAGTTAGTGATCTACAAGGAAGGCTTGCTGATAATATTTGCTTCCCAAGCAGACAATATCTCCTACTATTCCACAAATGTAGAACAAAATGGTATTCTGTTATGTTATATTTGTAAACAATGCCAATTTACCAAGCCAGATCCTCCCCTGAGAGTTTTCTACCAAGGATACTATTAATGGATTGCTGGTTCAATCTGCCTATGATGTCATTATTTCCAAGATCTTGACAGAGATTTGGGGTGATTGTAGGCTCTATTTCAAGAATTGTACAAAAACACCATTATTTGCTAGGAACACAACAACAACAAAAACCCTGTTTATCTTCAAAGTTTAACTGTTGTCATTCACTTTTTCAACAGAAAGGAAATTTACAAGTGAGTTGCACATTGGATTTAGTCACAGGCCAATTGTTTCTCATTGTGAACCTGGGCCTTAGCATCACAGAGAAACAGTTAACTATAATGGATATCCAGCAATAGTTTATATCTGTTCACAGGTTGATTTCACACTTAGCTACTATTTTTTTCAGAGATAATTCAAATGGCTTCTGTGGAAGGTGTATGTTTTAGATTAAGTTCTTGAGACTTACTGTGGCTTACCAATGTTCTGTAGTTACAGTTGAAATTCATCAGTAATAAAGAAAGAGACAGAAAGAAAGAGAGAAGGGAAAAGAAGAGAGAGAGAAAGGAAGGGACGGAAGATGGAATACATTATATTCTTAGAGTTGTGTCTATGAACTATGTTGAATCTGTTAAAAATAAATTAAAAATAAATAAAGAAATTAGAGAAATGAGCCTTGTTTCATGGTCACTGAGTCAGAACCACTCCCCCACATCTCCAAGTATTATCCACCTTCTCGTTCTTTTCTCTTTTTCTATCTCCTTTTCTCCCCCTCTTCCCTTGCAGTGCCAAGAGTTAGGGCACATCCACACAGGAGGATACAACAACATACACACACAGCCCTTTGTTCACTTGCTTTTTGACTCATCGCTTTACTGCAAAGTGTTTTAGAAGAACAGCATTATAAAGATGCATGGCAATTGTAGATTAAATGATTAGGAATTATATACAACTATTACCATTCCCTCATTTCTCTAGAAATACATTCTTTTAATTATTTCAGTGTCAAAATCAGGGAATGCTCACTAGGTTTTTTTTTTTTTTTTTAAGCCACCAAATTGCATGGATCCAGAATGAAGGGGAAAGATGGGTAATCAACATACTGTAGCTAATGTGACCAAAATCCATACTATGGCATATGTATTGAATTGGATGCAACCAAAAAATGCCAATTGTGCCCATTTGCCATGGGCACTCTAACCAGGTATGTGAAGGGCAACAATCCAGAAATACTGGTCCTACAACTTGCAAGGCTATCTATTAAGCCATGGCAATTGAAATAAACATTTTCATCAGATCCAGTACCACCAGAGACACATACAGAAATGACCATGTCTGTGTTATTCTGTTTGCCTTCAAAATCTAAATAGCTATTTATTTGCATATTTCTTCCAATGAAAAACAAATATTGCCCTCATTTCAGAAACAAAAGCCCAAACCAGCAGATTCAGAGCCATGATCTAATGAACCCAGAGACACAATGAAATCACCAGCCATAC